AAGCAATCTTCCGCTGCTACACTACGTGCGATCAACCTGAGACGATCCTATAAGACGGTTCAGATTGTATCACTGATTATAAGGGTGGTTTTTTGTGGTCACACTGATGCCGTAGGGTAAATTTTTTTTTTAGCTTAGTTTCCCCTGATATGCTACGGTTTACGTTTTAGGCACACTTTGGCCTCAGTGTAACCATTCTTCTTAGTGAGTTTTACCCTGAAGCAAGTACCACACACATCCCCCTCCCCCCACCCCCCTTTCCCGTAACCCTGGATTCCCGTTGGCTTAATGACAAAACCGAAACTTTCGCCAAGACAGCACATGTGTTGGCACGAATCTGGCCACCATTGGTCAGAATTACAATTTCTTTCAAGGCACCGTTAATGACTCAACTCGGTCTTCTTGTCTTATATGCCAACAAGGCCTGGTTTGTTGGAAATCTGGCTAAGTGCAGCAGAACGTCGGCGCCCACAAGCCCACTAGGCACCGCGTTCCTAGCAAGGTTGTTGGTGGCGGGTACGAGCGTCGTTTGCTTGTACGATAGGAAACAAATGCGGTGGGGAATAGGGGCACCAGCAACGAGGGAACGAGGGACCTCTCTCCCATTTGTGATTTCCTACTAAGCTAGACGTTGTTTTCCATACACCCCAGCAGCCATGGCACCAACACAGGACGATGAGGGAGGCGATGCTGAGAACGAGCCACCGAACGTAGCTCCCCCGCGGTCACGCCTAGATTTCCTGCGAGGGCTGCATCAGAACCATCCGCCCGTCTGCACTGCCAGCCCGTCAACGTGCAGCGGCGAATAGCTGCGTCCGGCTCGTCCAACTACTTCCGCTGCCGTCGCGCCCGACAGTGCTCCCGCCACTGTCATCGTAACAGAAGTAGGCGAATCGTCGTCTGCTGCCTCAAAGAAGAAGCGTCGCTTCTCGCATGGCGTTCTCCCTTTGGGCACGCCACCTGAGAAGCCAACTCCGCCTCCGCCCCCCGTCGAAGCTCCCTCGCCAGTGTACCGTGAACTCACCAAGGCCGAAAAGGCAGAGGAGAAATTCATGAAGGCGCAGCAGCTATACATCACGCAGTGGCTACCCAAATTTGATTGGCTGTTGCTTGATAAGAACGATGAGGGGTTGCCCATCTTGCAATGCAGCATCTGTGTGGAGCACGGCAAGGACGACGCCAAGTTCGGTCGCAACGGAACCAGGGGACGCGATCTGCAGCTCGGATCTATGAGATGTCACGAGCCGAGTGGTCGCCACGACGAAGTTATGAAGATGCAGCGGACACTCATGGCGGAGATCGAGAAGCAGAAACGCATCGACGATTTTGCCAACGCCGACAAGGAGGGCGCGCGGCTCACTCGTCTCATGAGAAGCGTTGATTTTTTCTGCGACCACGACGCCCCGATCTCCATGTCCCCGAAGCTCGTTGGCTTTTTGGCGGAAGAAGGAGTCGCCGACATCCCCCTGCAGTCTTACGGGGTTTACATTACACAGTACGTCACCCGTTGCATGTGCTGCTGTGCGTCGAATGGTAGATTATTCTTTCTTGACAAGAGATATGCTTGACACCAACCTGCTGAGATATTCTTTCAACGAGATGGCCGTGGCGATGGCAAAGTACCAGAAAAATCAGCAGCTGCAGCATCTTCTCGCTTCACCCTTCATCGGCCTAACATGTGATGAGAGCGCAGACCGCGCGCGTGGCAAACACTTGATAGTGTTTGCCACGTTCCTCAAGAATGGCGTCGCCGTCACAGAGTTCCTGGCGCTGCTTACGGTGCAAAAGTGCGACGCTTCTTCGATTTTTACCGTGCTCATGAGCCACCTCGACTCTATCGGTGTCGACCTCAATCAGGTGGCCGGCGTTGGAACCGATGGGGCTTCCGTGATGACGGGCGATAAGGGCGGCCTTGTATTTCTCTTACGGGAGCGCGTTCCGCACGTCATCTGGTGTCACTGCGTTGCACATCGGTATTGATATTGTTGCTGTCAACTGGCATCATACGTGTGTAGTTGCGCGTGGTATCGATATACTTATGTTTTTTTCTCTTATTACCAATATGTGGCAGAGAGGCGCTCGTGGTCAAGGATGCAGCGAAGGCCTTCCCCGACCTTGACATGATCGATGCTGGTGTGCGTGCTGTAGGGGAAATCATCTGTCGCTCGAGCATCTGGTACGAGAGGTTCAAGGAGCTGCAACGTCAGGTGGCTGGAGCATCAAGGATTATTCCACTTAAGAGATTCACCGTACCAACATGGAGCATCAAGGATTATTCAACGTCAGGTGGCTGTCGCGGGGAGACACAATAGCGAGGCTGTGCAGAGTTTTCGGGGCAGCGATCGTTATGATTGTGGAGTATGGTCACAAGATTGCCGCAACTTTACAAACTTTTAAATTCCACTTTAGTTTGTACTTCCTAGCTGACATTCTGGCAGAGCTAAACTCCCTCAACCGCTTCTTCCAGCACCGAAAGGCAAGTGTATATGCTATGCAGTATGAATGCTGGCCGCTGTAATTTTACTGTCCTAACATTTTTGTCATGCCCTTGTTTCCAGGTCGACACAACCCAAGTCGCGAAGGAAGTCGATCGGATGATCACCATCATCATGCACTGGTAGATCGAGTACGGCGAGACATTTGGAGGCGGGGTCAGCAAGCTTCTGTCCCGATTCATTAAGGATCACGGCGGGGACAATCGGGCGTTGGTGGTTGAAGGGATTGACGGGGATGGACGGCCAACATCTCATCGTTTCGAACTAAGCGAGGCACCAATCAAGAAGCACAAGTTTGGGGGCTCGCTTGCGGACTGTGTGAAGTTTTGCACGCGTTGCGCGTCGAGGCAGAGCTTTAGGTTGAGCTGGCCCAGCCCCCCGTCCTTCCGTGGGAGGCACGCCAGGTACGCGCTCCAGAGGATAAAAATCTTCTCTTCTGCCGCTTCCCCCGCCGAGACGAAAGCGTGGCAGAGCTTCCTGATTTTTTCCCACACTTCGTCCGGCGGCGAGTAGACCTGCGCCTGAAACATCAGCACCGGCAGGACGTAGCAGCTGACAACCGCCACTCTTGCCGTCGTCGTGAGATATTGCGTTTCCCACTTCCTTAATTCCTCCTTTATCCTTTCGTAAGCCTTCCCCCAGGATGGACCCGGGTCTCCGTTAGGCGTGATCCACACCCCCAAGAGCCTCTCCGGCTCTTCCGGCTCCGACCACTTGTACGGGATGTCCGCCGGCACCGGTGCCCCCCTGTTGCATCCCAGCGGCACCACCACCAATTTGTCACAGTTCACCTTCAGCCCCGACTGTTTACCGAAGGCATCCAACACCTCCACCGCCTTCCTCAGCTGAGCTTCCCCTTTCAACAGAAACGAAGTATCGTCGGCGTAGCCCACATATGCGAGCGGCTCCTTTCCAGCCGGGCCAATCCCCAACCTCTCCCGTTGCGTGACTCTGCAAAGCGGCTCAAGCGCACAAAGGAAGAGGTACGGCGCCAGAGGGCATCCCTGCCTGACGCCTCTGTTCATCTCCACCCTGTCGCTTAACCACCCGTTAATGATGACTTTTGTTCGTGCTTCTGCGTGCAGGCCCCTGGTCCAGCTGATGAACCTTTCGGGCACTCCCAGCTCTTTCATGACCTTGAAGAGGAAGGCCCGCGAGACCGTGTCATATGCCTTCTGAAAGTCTACCAGCAGCAGCAGCCAGTCCTCCTTGCCACTGTTCGCCGCCTCCACCGCGTCCGCTACCACCGACACTGCATCTGCCAGGCTCTTCCCCGGTAAGAACCCGTGTTGTTCTTTTGACAGAACTTTGCCCAGCACCTTTTTAAGTCTCGTAGCCATGACCTTCGTAACCAGCTTGTACATGACGGACAGTAGGGTGATGGGGCGGTAGTTCCCCAGCTGGTCTGTTGGCCCCTTCTTGTCACAGCGGTCGAGAGGCTCTCCGGCATCGTCGCCCTCCCGGCGAACTCCCCGACAAAACCCATCACGTGTTCTTTAAGCAGATCCCAGTGCAGGATGAAATACTCCGCCGGCAACCCATCCTGATCCCCTTCAGGAGGCTCTCCAGCGCCTGTTTGACCTCCTCCTCTATCCAGTCTGCGCCTAGGAGCGCGGCATCCGCCTCCGAGAACTTCGCGCCTTCCGAGAAGGCCCCCCAGTCCATCTTTTCTTCCGGTTCAACCTCACTGAAAGCTCTTTTGAAGTGATCCGCGGCCGCCTTCAGTACCTCCTTCGTCCCCTGGTAAACCGCTCCTCGATGTGAGATCTCCCGTATAACCGTCCGTTTTTTTATTTTTGCCGACAAGTAAGGCGACGGGCCTCCCCGTTTAGCTCCACCCTGATTCCCGCCAGAACTTGCATCCGGTCTTTGCAGCTCTGCAGATACGCTTCCAGGTGCGCTTCCTTTCGTACTAGCCTGCTTTGCGCCCTCCTGTCATCTGGATACCGCATCACTTTGTGCCGTAGGCGCTCCACCACGCCTTCCAGGTATAAGACCGTCGCCTTTACCCTCTTTCTCTCCTCCCGCGAGTACTCCCTTAATCCCATGCTGAGCAACTTCAGTTTCTTCCCGAGGTCGACCTCTTCCTCTTTCTCCAAAATTTTTAGAATGCTGGAAGTCACCGTGCTGACCCCCCTCCTTTGTGCCTGCTTCGCGTGCAGCCAGGACCCTGATCCACTGGTGCCGCCACCGCAAGCGCAATCTTTATGCCAAACCAGTGGTCCGACAAACCCTTCGGTATCTTGGCGTGGCGCGCATCCGCCAGCAACCCGAGCAGCGAGAAAGACACCAAGCCCCGGTCAATGCGCGTGCTCGCCTTAGACGCCCTGTCCCTGAACGTGTACTCCGGGCAGTTTGGATGTAGCACCCGGAAGGCATCTCTGAGGTCCTCTGCCCGCCAGAAACTCAGCAACCTCTGATTCTCATTTCCCGAGCCTGACCGCGACGTACGATCCAACTCTGGGTCCTCCATCACCGGTTCTTGTCCCCCTGTGCTGGATGTGTATGCGTGATGTTCGCAGGAGCGTGGGGTGGAACTACCTGACGAGGTCGGTGCCGGCGGTAAGAGCAGCACTGCAGGTGCTGGATCTGGAGAACAGCTGGTTCATCGGCAAGTTCCCATCCACCGCCAACTGGGCCTTCTTCACCGCGCGTGCCAACTGCTTCACGGACCCCACACCATGCAAGAACAACAACAACCAGGGCATCATGCAGCGCCCCTCCTGTGCCATCTGCAGCAGCGCGGACGGCACGGGCACGCTGTGCAGCAGCAACATCCCGTGCTAGCCCGACCCCATTGTAGTCAAGGCTGCCACGGCCGTGCCCACCCCCTCCACGCCCGTGCTCGCCCTCACCTGCCCTCCCGTTCCGCCCGTCACCACGGATGCCACTGCCGGTACGTGTGCGGCTGGGCCTCGTGCTGCTGCTAGAATCGCACATAAGTGTTGCCATGACCAACAGCATGCTGCTTGAACACAGTTACTCATGTGCTCCCTCACGCCTCGCACTGCTGCTGCCCATGTGCCCACCGCCCCCACCGCCCCCATGCACAGCGTCAGCGCTGATGAACATCAAGATGGCGCTGGGCGTCACCACCACCGACTGGGCGCCAACCTCCTCCTGCATGCCTCTCGGCAGCTCGGGTGGCGGCAGCTTCAATGGCGTTCAGTGTAACGCGCTTGGCAACCCCGTCAGGATGTGAGCACCACGCACCATGCCTTGCTGTGGCTGCTCTTGTCCGACAGTTTTATGGCTCGTTTTGCCTTCAGTCAATCCATTTTCTTCCCTTGTTCCTGCACCAACCCCCCTCTCCTGCACTACCACCCTAGGTAACCAGTAGCTGTAAGGCATTCTGCGTGCTGACATCACCGAGCTCATGGCCCTCACGTTCATGTAAGCACTTCCACTCATGCAAGCACAACTTCTCCTTGCACAGTCACATGCTACCGTGAGTGGTATCATGCTCACTCAAAACTTCCTGTCTGGCAATGCACAGTTTCTCTCATTCGCCTTCCTACATCCCCCTCTCCCCCCATCCCCCCTCCCTCCCTCTTCCTCTCCTCTCATGTGTGTGTGGCACTGGGTGCGGGGTGATGCAGCTCGCTCAAGTCGAACCTCTTCAGGGCACGTCTCGACAAGTTCGCCAGCAGGATTCTCTCGCTGCCCAACCTCGCAGTGCTGTAAGTCGCCTCCCACCCTCGCACTGCACTGGATCTCCGCCTCTTCCGGAAGTCACTGCTCATTTCACAGTACATCTTGTCTTGCCAGCTCACGCAACACCACATCTTGACTTGCTGACTTACCACCCTCCGTTTCTTCCTCTGGCTTCCACTGTGTGTGTGTGTGTGTGTATGTGTGTATGTGTGTGTGTGTATGTGTGTTTGTGTATCTGTGTGTGTGTATGTGTGTGTGTGTGTATGTGTGTGTGTGGAATGCCATTTGTTGGCCTTGGATGTTTGAATTGGCATAGTTTGTGAACTTGGAATTAGAGTTTTTTGTTTCACTTGAGATGTCATTCGTTTGTCTCAAGGCCTTTGTAAAATTGCAAATCACGATTTTCCAGTTATCAATTTGCACGCGTCTACGAAATATTCTTCCCTGCGCTTATAATCGAGGACTGGATATACCAGTACAGTGTGTTGGAGTAAGGCGAAAGTCGCCTTTAAGCATTCCATAACAGACCCTCACCCATCAGGGCTAGCCCCCCCAAAAAAAAAATTTGAGGTGGATACCTTATCCTGAATTGTCAGTGTAACAACTAATGGAATCCTGCCTTATCAGGGTAACATTTGCTAAGATTTTGAAAGTGCTACGGTGCTTCTTTTGTACTTTACAACAAGCTCACATCACATGTATTGAAAGGGACTTTGTTTCCAATAATAACAAACCATAGATCATTAATTGTATCCAGCATCCTCGTCCTCATCATCACTTAACTATACCCTGCTGCAAGTGATCTTTGCCTTTGCTACCATCACCACCACCATGCTTCTTCGAGGCATCCACGGGATTGCCCTTACGCTTGGTTAAGCGGCGCTTCTTCGTGCTGCGCCACAGCTCCACGATGTCACTCCACTCGACGTCGTACTCCAGCAGGCTGAGAGTCATGAGGTCTCCAAGCTTCGCGTTGTGCAGGCCGGTCCGCTGCCAACTCTTGATAAGGTTTTGTCGGGAGAAGCCGTTTCGCACTCCACAGTGCTGATCGGCAACACCGCCACTGCTGCCTGTCAGAATGAGAACAACGGAATGATTGAACTAGCAAGCAGTTGGGTACAAGTAGGAAACCTAGAAGTGTTGTACCCTATATGAACTACCCCACTACAGCCTACACAGACTATAGCATATAAGTTTGACACACCCCCATAGGCAAAGTGGGGGAGAACAAGAGGTCACAAGACCGGTCAAGAGAGGCAAAGCAAGCTCAGGGTGGATCACGACGTCACCACGCATTCCGAGCACAAGCAAATGGCCACAAGGCCAGTTCACATGCAGAGTTATAGAAATGGGAACAAGCAATACAGTGATCACAACCTAGCAAGTGTAAGCATGTAGGTATATGTATAGAGATCACAGTACAAGCAGAGTCAAGAAGTAAGCAAGTGAAGCACAGTAGGCACAAGGCCTAGAACAGTACAGAAACGCTGATGATCACAAGGCTGGAGTGGCTTGGTGAAGACAACAGCAGTGTTGGCCTGAGTGGCCACGTAAGCAAGACGAAGCTGACCACGCTGCTGCAACTCTCGAGCAAGGAAGTAGCGCAGAGCGATGTGCTTCGTTCTGTGCTCCAGTCTGTGCTCCTGACACAAGGCAATCATGGCCTTGTTGTCGACGTACAGCACTGGAGGAGAACGAGGCCGCTCTCCCAGGTCGGTCAGCAGGTAGGTGAGCCAGCGTAACTCCTGTGCTGCCATGGCCCCTGCGTAGATCTCAGCCTCACAGCTGGAGCTGAGAACAGAAGAAGAGCGGGTAGACCGCCAAGAAACAGAGCCGGAGCCAAGGCTGAAGGTGTAACCCTGTGACGACCGCTGCGTAGCCAAGTCATCAGCCCAAGAAGCGTCTGCGTGACCAGTGAGGACAACTCGAGCCCGTCCTCCAAGCATGAGCCCCATGCCCGACGTACTGCACAAGTAGCGCAACACCCTCTTAGCGGCATCCATGTGCTCCTTCCTGTGTCGGCCAGGAGCGACATATCGTGCTAGGATGCTAAGAGGGTAGGCCAGGTCAGGTCGAGTGCAGGTCATCAGGTACATGAGGCAGCCCACAAGCTCTGGATACGGGCCACTCAGCTCTACGGATTCGTCCGAAGGTGGAGCTGAGAGCGAGTGACCGGTAGGCAGAGGAGTGGACTGTGGCGAGGAGTACGTGAAGCGGAAGCGCTGAAGGACCTGCTGCACCATGTGTGACTGAGTCAGGGTAATGGTGCGCTGTGCTCTGTCCCGGGTGATCCGCAAGCCAAGATAGCTTGTCAGCTCACCCAGGTCTGTGCACGTGTGTCTCTTCTGCAGCTCCGACATCACGTGGGCGAGTCCCTCAGTGTCAGAAGTAACAAAGACCAAGTCGTCTACGTACACGAGAACGTAGAACGGCGGCAGAGTGGTGTCGGTGCGTAGAAACAGCGACGGGTCAGCAGTAGAAGGAGCAAACCCAAGAGCAGCAAGAGTAGTCCTCAGTGTGTCGTGCCACTCACGGGGTGCCTGGCGGAGACCGTAGACTGGCCGCCGGAGGCTCCACTGGGTACCAGCAGGAAACGACCCAGTGAAGCCAGGTGGGCGGCGCAGCCAGATCTCCTCGTGCAGGCTGCCCTGTAGGAAACCAGTGCTGAAGTCAAGAGAGTGGAGCTCGTAGTCACGCTGAGCGGCGACGTGCAGCAGAACCCGAGGAGTGGTCATCTTCGGGGTCGGGGAGAAGGTCTGGAAGAAGTCAACTCCCTCTCGCTGACTGAAGCCTCGTGCAACGTAACGCGCCTTGAAGACAGGCGGAGAACCCGGCGGCCGCTTCACCCTGAAAATCCACATGCCACTGCCGATGTTCGCCCCAGGTGGGGGAACCTCGTCGACGTAGGTGCCTGTGGACTTCCAGGAAGCAATCTCTGCGTCCATGGCTGTCTGCCATTGAGAGGAGTAGGGACCCTCTATCGCCTCTGCGTAAGAGCGCGGGGTCGGGATGTCTGGTGCATCCGGGTCTCCCTCAGGGGCAATCAGCATGGACACGAGATGAGGTAAAGCAGCGGCAAAGCACTCAAACTCCTCCTGTCTGTCCTCAAGGACGTCCGTGCTAAGAGCACACTCACCCCCGACGGACGGAGGAGAGACAGACTCAGACTCAGCAACAAGACTAGCAGCGTAGTCTAGACGACAGGCGGCAGCAAAGTCAACAAGCTCAGCAACTAGAGCAGACGCAGCAGTGGACTCAAAGGAAGGGTCAGTGACAACAGTGGCGAGGAAACGGGTGACAGTGGGACTAGCAGCACGAAGGGAGTCAGACTCCGGGTCCGGACCGTCAGGAAGAGAGGACGCAGGAGGAGACAGCAGAGGGACACGCTGTGGAGCAGTGGAAGGACGCAGAGTCATATAGTGAGTGCCAGGGACAGGAGGAGGACGCTGACGCGGAACACGACCAGTGCGGACAGCGCGAACAGGCGACTCAGGACGAGACTCAGGCGACGCAGGACGAGACTCAGGCGCACGACGCTCCGTAAGACCTCTAGTCGGTTCAGAGTAAGGAGAAGGGCCAGGCAGTGGAGAGGCTGGCAGTAACTGCGGCTGCGACTGGACAGGCGGTGGACTCAGTAAGGGAGGAGGAGGAGGACCAGTAGAAAGCGGTAGGCAAGAACCTGCTGAAGGAGCGGAACGTAGTAAGGCCGCGGCCGTGCAGCGCCTCCAGAAACAGCAGAGACAGCACCAGTACCCTCTGCTCCAGGGTCTCCATCTCTAACTCCCGCAGCACCACCAGCTGCAGCACCTCCAGCAGCACCAGCTCCAGCAGCACCTCCAGCAGTAACAGCTCCAACACCTCCAGCTCCAACTCCTGCAGCACTACCAGCCCCAGCAGCTCCAGTACCTCCAGTACGAGCACCTCCGGGACCAGCGGCTCCAGCACCTCCAGCGGCTCCAACACCAGCAGGGCCTCCTGCAGCGGCAGTACCTCCAGCACGAGCACCTCCAGGACCAGCGGCTCCAGCAGCTCCAGCACCAGCAGTACCTCCAGCTGCTCCAGCAGCTCCAGCACCAGCAGCACCTCCAGTGGCTCCAGCAGCACCTCCAGCGGCGTCAGCACCTCCAGCGGCTCCAACACCAGCAGGACCTCCAGCAGCGCCAGTACCTCCAGCACGAGCACCTCTAGAACCAGCGGCTCCAGCAGCTCCAGCACCAGCGGTACCTCCAGCTGCTCCAGTAGCTCCAGCACCAGCAGCACGGCTACAGCGTCGAGCGTACCACTCACGCAGCCGCTGTGGAGAGAGGGGCTCCCGCCGTGACGATACACCCGAAGGACCTCCAGACACAGCACGCTCAGGCACAGCACCCCCAGACTCAGCACCCCCAGGCTCAGCACCCCCAGGCTCAGTACGCTCAGGCTCAGCACCCCCAGGCTCCGCACCCCCAGACTCAGCAACCCCAGGCTCAGCACCCCCAGGCCCCGCACCCGAATGCTCAGCACCCCTAGCAGCACCAGAGTCAACAGCTACCTCGACCGGCTCGACAGGGTCTACCTGGGACACACCTGAAGGGGCAGGACCCTGAGGGGGGAGGGGGTCTACCGGAGGAGTACTTGGTGCTAGGAAGAGCGGCGGGGGGGGGAGAGGGGCAGTGCGGTAGCAAAAGAGACGGTAGTAAGAGACCGACTCGTCAAACGTGACGTCCTGAGAGGACAGAACACGGCGCGAGGTGGGGTGGTAAAACTGCCACCCAGGCGCGTCAGGGGGGAAGCCAAGGAAAACGCACGGAACAGCACGAGAGGACAGCTTGTCCGTAGAAGTATCGCGGACAAAAGCTCGAGATCCCCAGACACGGTACACAGACTCATCACCAACCTTCCCCGTCCACCGCAGAGTAGGTGTGGTCTCCGGCAAGGAGACACGAGGCTGAAGGTTGATCTGATGCGCAGCGTACTGAACAGCGAACAGCCACAGAAAATGGGGAGCAGCCGCACGGATCGTGGACGTGCGAGCAACGTCCATGACCATG